ACTTCTTTTGATTTGTAGCAAAAGTTAAAAGTTGGCTTTTTTGTCTTTTTTTTTTTCATTTGGGAAGTTGGTTTTTAGCTAACGGTGAAATTATAATTTTACCCTCATGGGTCAAAATATGTTACATAGGTGAAGTTGTAAATATTTTAAATAAATAGGGGTAGTTTGGTCATTTTATTATGATTTGACATCATAAACAAACATTAATCAAAAAAGTCAAAAGTCACTTTTTATCAACTTCTCAAATCATTTGTCTAAAAAAGTCAAAAGCTTAGTTAGAAGTAAAAAAATCACTTTTTACTATCTTCCCAAAACAACCCTTTAAATCAAATTTATGACATACAGACATTGCAAAAAGAGAGACATATCCGTATCATATTTATATTAAGTATTGGGAAAATGTCTCGTAACTTAAATTTTGTGGCTCAAAAGTGGTTCAAATGGCCAAAACGACGTCGTTTTGGCCATTTGAGCCACTTTTGAGCCACAAAATTTGAGTTACGTAGCATTGTCGTAAATATTGATACTAATTGATTATTTATGGATATATATTCGATACTTGATGTTAATTGAGAGGTATCGGATATTTTTCCAACACTTCAAGTCATATAGTCAAATTTTATAAAATTGAAATGGTAATAATTTTTACTTAGTACTAGAATATACAATTGCTAAAATAAACATGAGAGTAGTTTTTTAATATTTTCTTATTTTTTTATCGAACAAGAAAATAGTAAGAACAAATACCATCTTAATTTTTAAAATTTTATCAAATTAATGTATCGACTAAATAAAAGTAAACAAACTGTTAACTCTTAAACTAATGTTCAATTCCTAAAGAATAGTTTTTTGCTATTCTTTGACTTCATATACAATAAAAACACTAAAAATTTATTTATAAATTTTTTTACATATTCTAACCATACATGTATCTTATTTTATAAAATTTTATTATATCATATTAAGTCTTTATCCCATATTTTATCCATGATTTATAGAATCAAAACACTTCTCATAGTTTTGGGAATGGACATCAATGGGTAAGAACACTTACCTGTCAGTGGTGGAAGGACCACCTCTAGTTGGGCAACAAACACAGGAGAGGCACTTTGTTGGTAGGGGTTCTGAGGGAGACATCACAAACCAGTCTTATAAAATTTTGGATATGTTACAGCTAATAGCAGACCTAATGTATCAGTTTTTATTTTGTTATCAAACTTAAATTGTACTTTACTTTATTTTTTTTAGGTGTTAAATTGTACTTTTCACTCTCCTTTAAAATTCTCTCATTTGCACGCACGTGATCCTCTTTGCTCTCAAATCTTTCTGTCCCATTGTACTACCAGCCTAGGTCATCAAATGTGAGTTAGACCAAGAGTGTCAAATTTGAATTAAAAAAAGAAGAAGATGGAGAGCGTAATCTGAGCGTCCATATTATATATGCATATTTATAAATGACAATGTTACGTAACTCAAATTTTGTGACTCAAAAGTAACTTAAATGGTCAAAACGACGTCGTTTTGAGTACAAAACAACATAAAAATGGCCAAAACGACGTCGTTTTGAGTACAAAACAACATAAAAATGGCCAAAATGACGTCGTTTTGGCCATTTGAGCCACTTTTGAGCCACAAAATTTGAGGTACGAGACATTTTCCATTTATAAATAACTATTTATGTAAATAGATGGGTTTTGATAACGTTTACGTTTTTTTATTTATATTTATAAAAATTTTATAAATTAATTTTTATTTATTTTTATAAAAACATAAATTACAAACGCGTTTGGTTTAAATAAAATATTTGAAAAATTTTAAAAATATAAACTAAAAAATATGTTTATTCAAACTTAAAATATTTATATTTATTTTTTATTATTTATAACAATGGGATCATACACATTATAATTGAAAAAAAAATTGTTAATCAAAATTTTAAATTTTTGTTTAAAAACCAACGTAAACTCATTTTTTTTCCTCTTAAATTTATAAACTGAAACAACCATTTATAAACCAAAATAAGTTTTATGACAGTTTTTTAAATTTTTATAAATATAAACTGAAAAGTGAAAACAAAATAGTTACTAAACAGGCCCCTTGTGTTTTCAATAATTTTAAGAAGAGCAAGTACAATGCTTAATAAAAAAAAAAAAAAGGAAAAAGAAAAAGAAAAAAAAAAAAGGGTGCAAATATTATTAATCAAGAGTGCTAGTGACATGATCATGTCTCAATATTTTGTTCTTTGCTTGTGAATGCGTTGGGACAGAAGATATCTAACATCTTTGATGGTGTAGAGGAGCTATGTTTTCTTTTCATTCTTTATCTTTACACCTTGACATGGTATGTTGTTATTTTGGGCAAATTTTCTAATTGCATTACTATGTATAATTGTTTGATCTCAGACAATAATTAATTTGTAGATCAAAATTTATTTAATTTTCAAAGTGCATTTTAACTTTTACAGTCAACTTTCACTTTAGACAAGAATGCAAACTCGAATTTTGCTTTAAACTTATTAACCTTATCTATCTTTTGTGCTGTTTGCACTATACAACATGTGGAGCTTTATTTTCATGCCATTGTTTTTTTAATTTTATTTTTTATTTATATTGACAAATGTTAGTTGTTAGATTAGTACCTATAGGAGAAAAACTCTCAATCTTTGACAAAGCACCTAAATGTTTGTACTCTCTTAATTCAACTCTCTTAATAGGAATTGAACCCATGACCTCCTTAGAATTAAATCCTAAAGAAGGCATGGTGGCCAATTAAGTTAGACCTAGTTTTATTTTCATGCCATTGTAGTTATTATGCTTGTGATTTTTGGGGTTGAAATTATCCAACGTGATTATTGAGTTATTTTAAGGTTTGACTCCTCTTCAGTTAATTGGAGTCCAATTGTCATGGGAGTCACAATTAGATTCTACTTAATTGGGGAGAAGTGTGTTCATACATTAACGTTAGGTTTATCAAATATTTTGTTAGTTTTTTTGTTTTTTTTAAGATTAAAAAAATTAAATGCTAAAAAAGTTAATACATTTGACAATTACTAAAAAAAAGTTATAGAGAAAGTTTAAAAAAAAAAAAAAGAATAAAAAAGAAAAAAAAGAAAAGAAAAGTAATTTGTTAGGTTCATATGTACATTTGGATCACCTTATCATATGTCCACCACAGTTTTGGATTTGTTTTCCAGATATGTTCAAACTGGTCAGAAATGATTTTTTATTTGAGGAATGAGCAGAGGCCTCATAAGCAGTATTAATTGTGATCTTAAATGTTCAGAGATTGTTTGTTTGTTTGTTTGCTTTTCTTTTTATTTTTTTAACATAAGTTTGGAAAATTTTTTGCTTCACAAACAACTTTGTATTATTTGTCGTCAACCCTATCTCTGTCTCTAAAATTCATGTCATTTGTCTTCAATGCACTTCCAGTCACAACACAAGATCGTGCCTAAAGAGTCCCATGTTTAAGATGTTGCACCCGAGGCCTAGAAACAAACACCAATAATACACCCACAAAACAAACTAGTTTTATGTGATTTAGCAATGTTTTTATGTCCACAGGCAGCAGATTTTATTAATTTCAGAGAGAACAAAAAATACAAATTACAACAATAGAGGAGGAGACAACACTCAACTCAGCTCAATCTCACACACTACTTTATCTGATTTCTATGTTATATTGCTACTTTAAAACACTGTCACATGCACTCCCATTTATACACGAAATGGGAGAGCCAACGGCCAAGCTCACCCACTGACAAGCCACCAAGAAGCCATCTTATAATAGCATAGCTTGGCTGAATCTTCAGCCCAAATCTTCAGCTACATTTCATATCCTCTCTTTTCTTCAATTTGCAGCCATCTTTGACTTTTGTGGATGTGAGCAACAAACAACATGAGATTTTTACCACATCATGTGATTGGGAGTGTATTAGGGACAATAATTTTGGAGACAAATATTCTCTAGCCACAGAGAATTTTGACTAGAGAGGGAGTGAGAATGGACATTCACATACAATTAAAAAGTTCATTAAATAAAGCTCATATAGTTGCATTTGATATTTGTGTGTGCTATTTTCCACCTTGAGTTACATCTTCAACTAGAAATTATTGACAAATATTCATCTTGGGCAACAAACATATGAAAGCATTTGACCATGATCATTCAAGACATGCTCTAAAGCATGCGTATTATGAAAATATAGTTGTACGAGTATTGAGTACCTACTTAGAATGAATATACGAAATACGTATTCAATATGCAAAATATTTTGAGTATAATTCAGGAATAATATGGTACGTTTCGGCCATAGATAGATTAGTACTTTTGTTGATATCTCAAGGCATAGGTTTAACCTTTTTTTCAAAACATAAGAATACAATTTAATTATATCGTGCCAATTTCTTTAAAAAAAATAAAGCAAAAGATATTTTTGCAAATTATAAAAATACAAAAAGTACTTAGGATTCCTTTTTTCACCATTACAAAATATTATTATTATTTTTCACATTTGATTTTTTTGATTCTTATATGTCAAAAATATATTATTTCATGGACATACAGACCATACTTCTATTTTATTTTTCGAAAATTTTAACTTATTTGCATATCCATAACATACCCATAAGTCCACCTAGGGGTGTAAGAAAAGCCCACTGGCTCGAGATAGGACCCAACCCGACCTGAGACACGACCCAAGGCCCAACCAGCCCACTGTCCAGCATCACTTTCAAGCTATTTTGGTGAGGAAAAAAATATTAGGCCCGGCCCAGGCCAGATTTCTCCCTAGGCCTAGATTTTTGGAAATTAGGCTGGCTTGACTCAATTTTTTTTACCAGAGCCTGAATGGGCCCGGCATGACCCGTAGGCCCGAACCCAAGGTCAAGTGGGCTGGGTTAACTTTACACCCTTAATTGATGACATGAAACCATTAGCCATTTGGTGATTTCAACCGTCAAAGATTGAGAATTGATGAGCAGTTCTTGTGAGGAAAAAAAAACAAAAAGAAAAAAATGAATACCATGTTTCTAAAACAGTCACATTTACAAGATTACATCAACCACAAGAATTTCACATCCTGTGGTCAGCCATATCAAACCAGATTTGCTGAAATGCCTTAACAATGAGACCATGATACTCATCTGAATTCAATGAGAGGTAACAAGCAAGAAGCTCTTCCAACTCCTTTGATCCCCGGATATTATTCTCCACAATCATCTCCACCATTGATTCCCTGAAGTCTCTCTGTGGATCGAATGATGACTTCACAATTGCAAAGCTCTCTGCGAATCTCCTCCTCGGTTGTGATTTTGATCTCTTGCTTGATGATGACACACTTCTCCTACCACAAGCTTGAACTTTCTTGCTCATTGTTCTTGGAGAATTCGATTGGATCTTCACTCCTGTCGAATGGGAGGCAGGTTTTCGAATGCGAGGACTAGTTTTAATCTCTTTTTTAGTACTCTTACCGGTATTTTCTTTCACGATATTGATGGAGAGTGAACCATGAGCTTGAATCTCTTCAAATTTGGATGAACTTTTTGCCGTGTCTTTGAATTTAACCGGCTTTGTCAAAATTGGAGGAAGCTCTACCTTTGAGATTGTGTCTAGCTTCTCAACTTTCTTGGAGTATGATTTCTGATTCATGTCGATTATGATATCAGTAGTTGAAGAAGTGACTCTACAACTACATGAGCCCGGCCATGAGGCTAGTCCATCGAATGACTCATGGCAATCATCGATTGTGTTGTTGGATTCGAATTCTGACAAAGGAGACTCATAGAAAATAGGTTCAAGGGTTGGTTCGGGTTTAGTCCTGACAGAATTAAGTGTTGTGCCACAACTACAATCGGCCGAGACAGAGGAGGATGAGGTGACAAGTCTAGGAGACAATGACTTGTTGTGAATGGTTTTTTTCTTGGGTTTTTTCTTTGATGATGATTTTCTTGGTGGATCAGGAAAATGGGTATCTGAGACTTTTGGGTTTGAGTATCTTGGTTGAGAAATGTGTTGGGGCCTATGAGATGTTGTTGTAGTTGGTGAGGGAAAATTTTTCTTGATTGGATGAGAGGTGTTGGGGTTTTTGGTTCTGCTCATGTCTCTGAGCTTGTAAAACCATGCATTTGGCATCATATCTGATAATCTGAACTTGTAATTGCCCATCAAAGTCTCTCTCTCTCTCTCTCTCCCTGAGGTTGGTTTGTGTTTTTCTTTGTATGACTGAGAATTGAAGGTAAATAAATAGATATAGCATGGTATGATGGTTCTCTGTTTATGAATCAAGGCATTTTAGCTGTAGAGATTCATGCCTTATATGCATGCCCAATTGTTTTCTATTTTGGTCATAATTAAGCTTTATGGTGGATCATGCCTGAATTATGATGTTCCCACTTTTCTTAAAGGTAGTTTTATCTTCCACTAAAATGTATGTGTGTACTATTTTCATGACTTTTTTTATTAAAAATTCACGAGGGTTATAACTTTTTTTGCAGGTTAAAAGACATTTTCAACTCTAACTTTATAAGAGCGGTCAAGAGTAAATATAAATGTACAAAAAAAATTTATACAATGGGACGTAGATGTGAGATGAAAATAGTAAATATAAATGTACAAATAATTTTTATACAATGGGATGTAGATGTGAGATGAAAACTGACTGGGTCTTGCACATGGTAGATCTCATATGTAGGACCCAACATTTATCATACATCTATATCTCATTCAATGAAATTTTTCTATGTTCCTAACATAAGGTGTTTGTTTAGACGAACTGGGCAAGGGAGAATTGCAATGCAATAAACTATTAATTATGAGATAAATAGTTCCTTAGACTAGTTGTAAATGATGTATATTTTGAGACACTTTTTTTTAACTAAACTATAAATTTGTTGGATAGAGTCCAATCCTATGCTTCAATTCCCATCGAAGGGGGGCAAAGGTGGAGTTGGAGTTGAGCCTGTGACAATTAAGGCACTTTTTAACTGTTTGAAAGTAACTAGTCTTTAAGAAGGGTTTTTAACTGTTTGAAAGTAACTCATCAAGTGTGCAATCAAGGGGGTAATGGCCAATTGGTTGCTCTTTCAATCCTTATGTGGTCCACCTTATATCCTAATAAAATCAGACCAATATGTGTTGTTACGGTGGTCCTTACCATCAAGTATTAAGCTAATTGCATTTAAATTTTTTTTTTTTTTTTTTTTTTAAATTTCTTTCTATGTGATGGTTTCTTGTCATCCATCCCTTTCCTGAACATTAATCCCCACACCATCTCTTCAGCCATTATGTGATCTTTCTATCTCTCATTATCACATACACACGGAATTCAAAAGGAGTGAAATGTAAGGGTATTTAAAAAAAAAAAAAATCAATGGAACTAATAAATTGATCTATTGCAAACCATACTATTCAAAAGGAGTGAAATGTAAGGGTATTTTTTTTGTAGTTCTTATGTTTTTTTGCCAAACTAATGACTAGTGGTTGTATAGTGATCAGAGGCGAATGCATGGATCATCGTTAGAGGGGGCTGGATTCAAAATTCACAATAAAAATCAAATTCTTTCATTAATAGTTAAATCATCATACATAAGTATATTAAAAAATACGTTTTTATAACTATAAAAATTAAAAATATTTTTCAATCTGAATAAAGGGCGGCTCAACCTTTGATAGAGGTTTAATGTGAAATCTCAAAGAGCATCTTTTTTTATCATTTAATTTATTATAGATTTTTTTATGTAAAATACATTTTACTCTTCAATTTTTGTAATTAATCTTGAGATTATTTACAATATTTATTATCATTTGGAAAAAATGAATCTCTTAATTGGATTTTTGGACAATGAGTATTTTTTACAGCTTTATTATTGTTGAGGGTCTTTGAACAATGAGAATCTTTTAAGTTTTACTATTGAAGGTTTTTAAATAGGGAGGTATTTTATCATACTTTATTATTGAAGCAACCATTTTTGGCTTTTCATAGGACACCAGACATTGTTCCACACTAATAATCTCCCCTCATATGGTTAGATAAAATATGAGCATAAAATATTGCAGATCTCACTATACAAATAAATCACAATAAAATTACGGCATAAATACCTTCCAAACACTAAAAAAAAATTCATCAGATATAATTATAATGAAATTTATTAACATAAAATAATAAAAAAAATTATTATTTATGAATTTTTGTAGATGTATGAACTTGTGGAGGCCACCTCTCATATGGGTGATGGGATCCTTGGAGGGGCCATCCCTTCTCAATTTATCAAGTCACAGCAGCAATATAACATAAATTAATAAGTTTGTTCGTGTAAACTTTGCAACAAACCCCCCACCCCCCTACCCCCCTTTCTGTATTAGTGATGATGGTGGGTGGCAGAGTGGAGGTGGAAGGTGGATGTAGTGTGGTGGTGAGGAGATCAGGGTGGTGATCATGGGGTGGTGGCAACAATGGAAGTGTGGTTGTATTGATAAAGTGTTTTTTGGGAACATAGTAAAAAGTTGCGTTCAGTAACTCTAAAAACGCAAGGTGTAGGTGCTAAAAACGAAGCACCATTTGAGAAGTTCAGCAAAACGTAAAGGTGTGAAATGACGTAACTACCCTCCATGTTTAGAAGTTGAATCCTAGGGCAAAAATTAAATTTCCTAAGTTGGGTGGAAGTATTTTGGTCATTTTGTTGTGCAGTGACACCATAAACAAATATTAACCCAAAATGAAAAAAAAAGTAGCTCTTTATTAACTTTTCAAATCACTCTCCATAAAAGCCAAAAAGCTTAGTTAAAAGTTAAAAATTAACTTTTAATTATCTTCTCAAAACACATCAAAATTTTAGTTAAAAAAATATTTTTTATCTTTCAAAAGTATAAAATATTTTTTGCTCAAATAAATTTTCATTGACTATAAAAAAAAATTAAAATTGTACCAAATATCAAAAAATACAAAATTATTTTTAAAAAATATTTTCTACTCAAATAAACAAACGATAAGGAATTCAAATTTTTTTTTTTTAAATGAAATTGTACAGGATTTGTTTTATAGCACCAAAATGAAGATGAGAGATGGAGTTGTAAAGGCTAAAGAGCCAGAATGCGGGACTAGTTAAAATCATGCATCTGTCCTTGGAGCCCGTGTCATTGTAACAATGGTTTATTTTCTGAGATTCTTGAAAGTTCAGATAGACAGCCCATGAAGCGAAAAGTTAACAAATACCTAAAAGTCAATTTTATTTTTTTTTAATTTAATTTTTACATATTTTTTTTTAAAAAAAATTAAAAAATCATCTTAAATCTATTAATTTTTTTCATTTCATATTTTAATTAAAAAAATTAAAATATCAATAAAAAATCATGTTCCCAAACAACTTATTTCGAGTTGTTTTTTTTTCATAACTTATTGGAGTTGTTGGTGTGTCATTTAAATGCTCTGTAGATTGATTTGGCCTTTATCAAACTGCTCAAGGAAGCAATAGTCAATGAAACCATATAGAAAAAGCAAGCAAATCAATCAAATAAAAAAGAACGTTTTGGACAATAATGGTGGTGGTGGTGGAGGAGGAATAGAAAATATAAGTCATACAAGGCATTGAAAAGCATGTGTATGTAGTCATGTTCTCAACCATAGGGCTATCTAATAAAGACTCTCGTTCTTGCTCCTAATAGGAAAGGCTTTATGACCTTGCTGTAAAATGATGCATTTACAGATAGGGTCCAGTTATGATATTGTACAGAAATTTCGCACATGAAGAGAACGCGACTAGAATCTTGATTTTAATCTTCCAACTTTCACGCAATGTTTGCAAGACAAAAATGATGAACTAATCTAGCGGGTGTATGTAAACAAAGCCCGTCTAATGCCCAAATTAGAACTAAAGATCAATATGAAAAAAAGTAACTCAGAATGAAATTAGGAATTTTTGAAATTGTTAATTTTATGAATTCTAAAACACAAGTCAATAAACTTATGAGCGCCATAAGTTGTGTAAAAAAATAAGCTGCTTTTGTTTGGTTCATGACCAGCTCATTGAAATTCATCTGGAATTGATTTAGAAGAGATAAAAAACATATTGAGATTGATTGTCATTTCATTCGCCAGCATGTTACTAGTGGTACTGCTCATCTTCTCCCTATTGCTTCCGTCGATCAACCCGCTGATATCTTCACTAAGGCTCATCCTCCTGGCCGCTTCACTGATCTTGTTTCCAAACTCAACTTGGTTGATGCTTTCCCTCCTTGAGTTTGCGGGGGGCTGTTAGAATAGTTTTAAATTTATTATTATTAATTGTATAGTGTTACATAGCTTTTGCTTTATATTATCAAATGTATAGCTTTTGCTTTCGGTGGTACTCAATCAATTGTATAGCTTTTGCTTTCGGTGAGTGTGGCATCCAATGCCCGTGTTTCTCTCTATAAAGAGAGACTTCATTCCCTTTGTAATTTATACATATATACAAAACATTTCAGAGTCTCTCTCTCGCTCTATAACTTCTCTCACTCTCTCAAACTAATCTTTCAGGCTTTATGACCTTGCTGTAAAATGATGCATTTACAGATAGGTTCCAGTTATGATATTGTACAGAAATTTCGCACATGAAGAGAACGCGACTAGAATCTTGATTTTAATCTTCCAATTTTCACGCAATGTTTGCAAGACAAAAATGATGAACTAATCTAGCGGGTGTATGTAAACAAAGCCCGTCTAATGCCCAAATTAGAACTAAAGATCAATATGAAAAAAAGTAACTCAGAATGAAATTAGGAATTTTTGAAATTGTTAATTTTATGAATTCTAAAACACAAGTCAATAAACTTATGAGCGCCATAGTTGTGTAAAAAAATAAGCTGCTTTTGTTTGGTTCATGACCAGCTCATTGAAATTCATTTGGAATTGATTTAGAAGAGATAAAAAAAAAAACAAAATCAAACTTAAAACATATATTTAAACATTGTTGAGTTTCAAACCAAATTTGTTTTAACACATTACAACCATAACAAAGTTGATAAACTAAACCCAAGTTTGGCAAAGGTTATTTTTTGGTTTTTTGGGTTAAAATTCACAAAATGACAAAATATGCTAAAATAATTAATAAGACAAAATATCACATCAAACCCATAATTATTTCACTTTTTTCTCTCACAAACATCACATCTAACTACAAAAAAAAATCAACCATTTTTTCTAAATACAAAAATTTTAACCTACTAAAATAGTCAAAAATTAAAATAGCCTACTAAAATAGTAACTTCCCAACCACCCACAAAGTTGAGACAAATTTTCATTGGGTCTTACTCATAGCTTAGGTCGTCTCTAATCTTCCATTAAAATTTTCATTAAATTTA